TCATCTTCATCTTCATCTTCATCTTCATCTTCATCTTCATCTTCATCCTCATCTTCATATTCACCTTCGTCTTCATATTTATCTTTTCCTTTATCCTGATCTATATCTTCATTCTTTTCTCCATTTACGTATTTACCCCCACCATTGTTAATTAGTTAGGTAGTTAAATTTTCCTTCCTCTTTTTCTTTACATTGTTACATTGTTTCTTTAGTGATATCATGTCATGTCTTGAAATTGGGTGTGATGAGTTGCAGTGTGGTGGAATTGGGTGTGGGAGTTACGGTGTTATGAATTCAGGTGTGGTGGTCTTAAGAGGTGTGGTGAATTTAGTTGTGGTGAGTTGAGGTGTGGTGAATTAAGGTGTGGTGAGTTAAAGTGTGGTGAGAAAGTTGAGGTGTGGTGAATTAAGGTGTGGTGAGTTAAGATCTGGTGGGAAAGTTGGGGTGTGGTGAGTTAAGGTGTGGTGGATTTAAGTGTGGTGGATTTAGGTGTGGTGAATTAAGGTGTGGTGAATTTACGTGTGGGGAGTGAAGTAGTGGTGGATTTAGGTGTGGGGAGTTAAGGTGTGGTGAATTAATGTGTAGCGAACTCAGGTGGAGTAAGTTTTTAAGCGGAGGTGAGATGAGTTGAGGTGAGTTAAGTTAAGTTAAGGGGTTAAGTGAAGATAAGTTATATTTATCCTTATCTTCATATTCATCTTCATCTTCTTCCTCGTCTTGGTCTTCATCTTCTTCTTCATCTTTATCTTTTCTTTTATCCTGATCTAAATATGTCCGTTCTTTTCTTCATTTACATATTCACCCCCACCATTGTTATTAGGTTAGGTATTTAAATTTTCCCTCCTCTTTATCTTTATATTTAGGTTTCTTTTCTTTTATTTTAATTTCTGTATTTATCCCTTTCTTCTTCTCCATACTCAAAATTATCTCATCCTTGTTTGAGGCTAATCTATTCATGTACATACATACATACATCTTATTCCTAAACTGCTGCTTAGCACGTTTCTTTAATTCACTATCAATATTAAAGCATACATTTAGGAGGCATTTCCGCCCCAACCATGTACATGTATGGCATTGGCATTGGTGTGACATTTGAATTGATTTTTTCGCTCTATTTTAAACTAATTTGAAATTTTAAAAATTGCCTGCACATCAGAATCAAAATACCTTTCTAATGATATATAATTGTTTATACCTTAGAAGTACAGTTTAGCCGTAAAAGGGGTGTAAAGGAAACATGATTGCCTATTTATATAATTGATTTGGCAATTTTCGCAAGTGTATTCACTTTTTGTTGTCTAAAATTTAACGTCGCACGGTGTTATTATATCGATGGCAGAAAACTTTTCAAGAACGCCCTACTTCAGAATTTTATTAAAAAATACCCTATCTCAGAATTCGGTTCAAAAACGCCCTATCTCAATCTCTAGATAGAGCGTTGTTGAAAAATTTTTTGAGATAGGGCGTTTTCGAACTGGCTGCCGAGATAGGTCGATCTTCCACTCAGCCATCGATATGATGGCTTATCATATTATAGACTGAGAAATATTTTAACCATTTTGAAAAGATAGGCATGGATTTTTTTATAAGGTGGATGAAGTGCGGATTTTTGTCCGTTTACTGATTCCATTTGCGGATACTTTGACGATCTGTTTTCCCACTAAAGTGTGCGGCAAAAACGTATGTACAGACAACTACCGAAAATTGTTTGTGAAGCGGATACGTTTCCGGCTGAAATTTGTCTGAATGAATTTTTCGTTCAATAAGCTTTCCTTCTGCACTTCACAGATACTTTTTCAAGGTTCAAACGCAATAAAAAAAAATTTGGAAGCGGCACACTCCTCAGCACGGTCAGCCACTACCGACTACGCATGCATACTTTCAAATGTTTAGCTTGAGCAAATAAAATAAAATTATTGCTTTCAAATGACATCATCTTTTACGAACGTTTCGAACGTTTTCCGGATACGAAAATTGATGATAACTGTCGGAGTTTTTTCTGTGCGTTTTCGGATACGGAAAATTGAACTAAACTGCACTGTCGGCAAAATATACGTTTTTTTGCTGGCTGGGCTGATTTGAACAGTCAAATACGTGCGTGATAAATTGTTGTATGAAAATATTATTTTTAGATACGAACATTTTTAAACGATAATTAAATATAAAGTATTCATTCTTACTATGCATTATTTCCCTCAGTATATATAGTTATGTACATACACATATGGCTCAATCCATGACAAATCGACCAATGCTTGAAATCGACCATTCTTGATTTGGTCAGAATTTTTCTTTAATGAAGTTTTGCCAAGGAGAAAAATTAATTTTATTTCGAAAGTTATGCAATTCCTGCAGATATTGAAATTTTAAAGGTGTTTTTTTTTACGATATTAGTTTTAAAACTTTGAAAACCCATTTTTAGCAAACTCTAAATAAAGTTATGTGAAAATTTGTTATTAAATTTAAATTTAGGTTTTCATTTAGAAGTTTGCAATAATTTTTTTTCAAAGTTCAAAAATGCATATTTAAAAAAAAACACTTCTTAAAAGTTTTATGATCTTATAGGATATGTAAGAGATATTGAAAAAAAATGTTGCATAAAATTTATAAAAGTTCTTGGTATGATTTTTTAATTATAAAAATCTGTATTTGTTTTTTATTTTTCCAATTGTTTTATATATGTTTTTTTTTGTATATAGCCCCAAGCATCAAACATTCATATTCAAAAAAATATGGGTCCGGGGAAATTGTGAAATTTCAAACTCAGGATTTTTTTTTTTATACCCGAGCGCACTTGTGCACAAGGGTATATTAATTTTGTTCACATAACGGTTGTTTGTAACAGCCAAAACGGATCGAGATAGATATAGACAAATGTATACATAAATGATCCGGATGAAAAAAGAAATCGATTAAGCCATGTCTGTCTGTCCGTCCGTCTGTCCGTCTGTCCGTGTACACGATAACTCGAGCAAAAATTGAGATATCTCAACGAAATTTGGTATGTAGGTTTCCCTTAATCCAAGGTAGGTTGGTATTGAAAATGGGCGAAATCGGACTTTAACCACGCCCACTTCCCATATAACGGTAATTTCCAGAAATACGAAAACTGCGATATTTTAGTTACTACTGAAGATAATTCACTCAAAATTGATATTTACAATAATTTTTAGACGAAAAATAAGAATATTATAAATTTTTGGAATATGGGCGTAGCCACGCCCACTTATGGTTACATGTGTATATCTTGGTAACCGCTGCACCAATTTCTTCCAAACTTGGCACAGTTGTTGGCCTTCGCACAACATACCAAATGGCCGAAAATTTTTAAAATCGCTCAATAACAACGCCCACATCCCATATAACGGTAATTTAGAGAAATACATAATCTTCGATAAATCAGTAAATATTGAAGCTAATTTATTCAAAATTGATGCTTGCAACAATTCTTTACCAAGAAATACGTTTATGGTAAAATTTTGGAAAATGGGCGTGGCACCGCCCACTTATGATCACATATAATTATATCGGTAACCGTTCTACCAATTTGTACCAAACTCGGTATTTTTATTGTGCTTGCTACATAAAAGCAAAACGTTGAAAATTATTGAAATCGGACTAAAATTACGGCCGCTTATAAAAAGCGGTAACGGTAAATTTCAGAAATGCTTGAAACTTCAATAATTCGAAATTTAAGGACGCTAATTTACTCAAAATTGATACACCCCGGCTTACCAACTAGCGGTAGCTTTCGGAAAGGTGAAAAAACATCTATTTAATACTTGCGCCGGGTATTTAATGTTCGGCTCCGCCCGAACTTAGACTTTCTTACTTGTTTTTATTCTCTTTGGCCGAACTTTGTTATATGTTAAAGAAAAGTACTGACCAAAATTCAATCAAACTAAAGACGGTGGATTGGAACCGTTAGACGATTTGACATAGAATGACCCATATTCATACATACATACATATACATATGCAAGTATTTAGTTGAAACGTACATAGTTTCAAATGCATTCTTATTAGATACTTTGTGAAACAATTTTATGAAGTAGAGTGTAAAACCAATTCAATAACTAGACTGTAGTGTAAACACGACTTAATGAAATTCGCATAACAAATATACATTGGGCCATTAATATGGAACTCATTGCACTCACCTTTATTGGTCGCTTTACACCATTCGCTTTCAAATTTCCTTCTTATCCACTCCACATACTTACATATAACCCTGCTTATGGCGCCAACAAGGCTCATATTCCTGTGCAACTGTTCTGTGTTAGTTCGTTTCAGCTCAGCGGGCCGGTTGAACGATAAGTTCTCAGCGTTTTAAATGTAGAAAATAAGAAAAAATATATTAAAAAAAAAACTAGTTGTATCAAAAATAAAATAAAATCTGTAACTTACAAATTTTAGTTAAGTCTTTGCAAGCAAAGACGCTTACTAGTATATGTGTGTTTTAAATATAAAAAGAAAATAAAAAAAACTTAAATTAAAAAATTAAAAAAATCGTACCTACTAATTAAATTAAGTAAAATTAATTTATAACAAAGTTGTCTACTTAATAAAAATAAAAATTTTTATTGCGAAAAGTAACAGTGATAAAATTATCTAATAACTACAAAAATTAACCTAAAAATAATAAAAATATTTTAAAATCGACCAAACGCTTTAGAACTAAACTGCAGTTTATAAGCTAAAAAACTGCGCTCAAGGCCAGAAGAGGGACTACGTTTTACAAATATTAAAAATCAAATAAAAAACTTTGATAAAAAGAAGCATTTAAGGTGAGTTTTACTTTTTTATTGTAGTGCTTTGTTTTTACAATAAATTAATTGCCGCTTATGTACATTTATGTTAACAGTTACATGTAGCGAATTAATGCTGCCGCGCAAAGAGAAAATCATACTCGCCATTTGCTTGCTCTTTTTGAATCTGTTTCGTTTGTTAAGCTTTTTCGCTAACGGAATTGAACCTGTGAAATGTAGACAGATTATTGATAGTCACATTTTGGCGGGAATTTATTGTGGATGTTGCTGTTATTGTTTTATTCCATTTTATTTTTTTTTTTTTTGGGAAAGTAGTGATGTCTGTGACAATTAAGGCGGCATTAGCGCTATTAAAAAAAAATTAATATATTTTCGAGAATTGCTTCAAACTGCAAATAACTTCGTATGTGTCTATAAGTATGTATACAAATGTATGTATGTAAACGTATTTTAAATGTTTTGCATGATTTCTATATTTACTTTTTTTGCCATAAGATTTTTGCTTGGCATAAGATTTAGAAATTTTTTTAATGCAAAATTTTGTTGCTGATCTAATCGCATCCTCAATTAGCAGTCGAAATAAGCCACTTGCGATTAAATATAATTGGAACATCGAGCTTTTATGTACTACAGTATACATATCTATGTACATTAGAATGCCTCACCCAAAAAAGTGTCAGTTTTTCAACCGGAATTATAAAATTTATTATATTTTAAGACTTCCGCCAAAATATCCGGAAAAATATTAAGATTTACGAGAGCTACACCAATTTGAGAATATCCCCAAAAATCTAATTATTTTTATTCCACTGATAAAATGATTAAACATTTTAGACATACCTTTTTAGTTGAAACTCGTAATAGAAGAGTGTTTTTAAATATTTTTTAAAACTTATTTTATTTAGAAAAATTTCGATTTTTTGAGATATTTTCAAAATTTTTCCAAAATATTTTGGTGGAAGTCTTAAAATATAATAAATTTTATAATTCCGATGGAAAAACAGTACCGATACTTTTTTCGTATGGAGAATTATGCACCCTAATGTGTTGATGTTTTTTAAATATTCGTAAGGTTTTTCAAGTAAAATTTTTTTGGGTATTTTTCTATAAAACTATTGTTCATGGTTTAATCAAAACCATATAAATTACAGTTTTAAACCTTATAAAAAATTTAAGAAAATTCAACAAATTTTCATCTAAATATCAACTTTTTAATGTGAATCTTTAGAGTGATTTTTGAGTTTTTTTTTTTTTTGGTGACGGATTTTCTAAAGATTGAGATTAAAAAGTTAAAATTTTGATGAAAAATGCACTTTAAAAACGCATGAGATCTGATAATTTTTCTTTCTATGTACATCTGTATACAACTTTAGGTTTTCTTAGTGCCTTTGCAACGGTGTATCATTTATATAAATCGTTAATAAAGTTTTCTTTTTATTTTCAGAAATAAGAGATTTACAAAATGAGTGACAAATTTTATGGGTAAGTTGGTGAAAAAACAGAAATAACATTTTTGGAAAATTTAATTTTATTCTTTTTCCTGGCTAAACAGCGGTGTTTGTCTGATATTGGAAGCTTAACTCATTTCCTAATCTAACCTCAATTTGAGCTTAGACCTTAGCTTTGTTTTTCACTTACACAAAATTCAAAAAAAGATTACCAACTTTTACAGGATCAAATATTTTTCAAGCCCCTATACAATTAAATTCGTATTAAAATATTTTATGTCATTGATTATTTTTGATGTTTAGATTAAAAAAAAAGAGTGCATCGCTACTGCGAGTTAATTCCCTGCGTCGTCAGGTGTAAGTTCAGCCTCTAATGTTCTGTAAGAATCCTCGTAATACTACGTCATTTATTCTTGAATAAGCTCATGCATTTTTTAAAGCGTTTTAAGTTACATACATATATCTTTCTATAAGCGCTTTGGAAAGTCCCACACCTGGTAGATAGTCCATAGCGATTTCTGAGAGCTTCTTTCTCTCGAGTGCCTCTTTTTATAAGCCACATAAGGGCTCCAGGGCGATAAAGGGAGTTGGATGCTACTTTCCGTGGAAGTTTATCGACAATCTCATTTCCTTCAATACAAATGGCATTCGGAACCCAGAGGGTCCAAACTTGATTGGTCAGACCAACAGTGGACAGCGTATGAAGGCACCCAATAAGATCTGAAGATAGCTACTTGGCTATCAGTCAATATCTCAATATTCTCATTCTGGTAGTTTCGCTTGAGATTGAAGTTCGCGCATCTTTCTATAGCGAATTTTTTCGCCTGCAAAATGGAAATATGTTTTCACTTAGGTTCCGAGTATCTCAACTTCGGTCCAAATATACATTTCTACCTATTCCAGTACCTTCTTCAGCCATCATACCTTATTGTAAAATTTAACTACGGATGCATGGTATCTCTCGCTTCGTTAGAATATCGTTCTTACCACGATTCTGAAATCCTTCTTCCCTGGTACCAGTCATCCTTAGGAGAGCCCTCTTCGCTTGAGACTAGATATGAATTTTCAGAGGTGTAAGGCATCGAAAAACTTCCAAGGATGCTGTTTTACTTGATCGCTCTAAGCTGTGTAGTCCTATCAACCTAAAAGATGGCTGCGTATAGATGCACCTTAATATTTTTGGGGAGCAGCCCCATTTTTTTTGTTTGCCAATATTTCTTTGCAGTTTGCTCCACGTGTGTTTTTCAGAGTCATTTCTGGTCTAGTATGATACGTACTCACAAATTTAACCTCCTTCAGGCACATGTTTCTGACATCTATCAGAATCGACTTCAGACCGCCAGGCCTATATTCCCTTGGAAACTAATTTACATTTTAATCGTTTACAACTTGTTCTATGATTAGTTTAACGGGCACTGGATTTTGCCTAAAGTTATTTGATAATAATTAAAAAATTCGACACCAGACCTGAAGCAATGGACGGGTGTGTTCTGATGCTTGGTCCGGAAGAATCTTTCGGCATCCAAATTCCTCTTACAGAGAAGAGTCAAGAATGTTCCCACAAAAGCACCAAACGGGAACAAAAGTATTAACAGCAGTTTGAACGGAAACAAAATTAGAACAAAAGGTTCGGTAACGTTTCCGCAAAGAACAAAATGCGAATAAAACTCTAAGGAACGTTTTCAAGAAGAACAGAATGAGAAATAAACTTTCGGGACGTTTCCAATTAGAAAAAATGAGAAAGAAAATATCGAGAACGTTTTCAAAGAAGATTAAACAAGAACGTACTGCTAGAGAACAAAAGTTTTGAGAACTTAAAGTTAAAAATGAGAGGGGCGAATTCGTGTTAGGATGAAAAAACGTTTCAGTGAGTGTTGATTCCAAGCCAGAGGAAGGCTGAACCATTTGAACATCCAGATCATTTATCATTACAATGAAATGTTCATTTATGGAACAATTTTTTAATTTTCAGTGCAAGAAAAGTTCGTGTCTTAAGTCCATTGTTGACTTAATTTGCATATTTACCTTTCACTTCTTTTTTAATTATTCAACCAATGTACGCTATGTGAAAAATTTTGTTCTCGCTTCCATTTTTCGCGAGTAGTTCAGAAAAGATTTGTACACAAAGTTCCTTAGACTTTAGTTCCAAAATTCTTCTTCGAGACAAAGTTCCTTAGACCCTTTTCCGATTTAGTTCTGTGCCAAAAAGTTCCGGAGATTTTTGTTCCCATTTCGTACTCTTAGAAATGTTCCCAAAGTTATTGTTCCCATTTTGTTCTTTTTGGGAACGTTTCGCAGGGTTTTGTTCTTATATAATTCCCATTGAGATTTTTGTTTTGATTTCGATTTTGGTTTGAAGCGATCTTGGGAACAAAACTACATTTAGTTTAGATCATACATTTAGATCAATCCTGGTTGAAAGGGCATTTACTACTGTATTGGTTCGTTCAGAGAGAGGTCCATAAGTCTTCCCACGTGTTTTATGCGTCTCTCCAACAAATAAATCGAGAAGAATGATTAGATTACAACAGATTGTAAAATTTACAAGTGCCCTTCTCTTCACTTTAGTATCTTCCCAACCGACGATGCGGCTTACTCCAACTACGCTGCTGTACTTCATCAACAGCAACAGCCAACGCAACCCCAACAGCCTGATCTAAACTCATGCACTGCCGAAGTATGCAATTATTACAACTCGACGCCTGCCAATACTAATAGCAACGTTGCCGCCGCCACAGCTGCTGGTAGCACAAATGGTTTCAATGCTTCCGTTGCCGCCACGCACAGTCGTCTGATTGGACCAGCATTGCGCTACTACGGCAGTGGGGGTAATCAAGCGTGTAACGGGCAGCAGCAGCAGCAGCAACAGTTGATCTACAGCGGCGGACTTATGTCCCAACATACTGCTCTAGCTGATAATGCTGCATACACTATTCCGCCTAGCGCTCTAATAGCCGCTGGTCCAAGCTGTAGCGGGGCCGCAGCCACGATATCATACACTTATAATCGCAATCGCTATATGCCGTATAGCCGCACCACCAACGCTACGGCAACTGCAACATATCCACTTAGTAGCACGCTTGCATTGCAAACAGCTATGCCGAGAGGTGGCAGCAGCAGCCTACCAGTCACCACCGCTATGAATGCCAACGCACAACAGAATTACTCTACATACCAGCAATTTGCGAATATTTATCAGAACTATCCGAATTTATTTGGTGGCCCACCGCTTATGGGTGGTAGTTCAGCGGCAGCGGCAGCGGCAGCGGCAGCTATTGCTTCAACTGACAGCGGCAGCATCAAGAATGCTAATACAATGACAGAGATGAATAGGCGCGCAGCAGTGTCGATTGTCAATGGTGAGACGGTGGCATGTAGCGCGGGCACGCGTCGTGTTGTCAGCGGTGCCGCGGCGATCGCTGTTGCTGCAGATGCCAATACCACTGCGATTACGGATGCTAATAATAATGGTGTAGTTGCTGTGGTAAATGGCGAAAACGGCTGTCAGGTGTGCAGTAGCAGCAGCAATCAGTCGGTGACACTACAAATTACCAATCTGGATTATACTATGGAGGAAGCGAGTTTGCGTAACTTCCTAATGGGACAGTTGAAACCAATAACTCCGGTGCTTTCCTTGACCTTCGAAGGGAATTCTTATGCCAAAGTCACAGTACCCGATATGTTTGTGAGTACTTACGCTGCCATAATCGGATAGGAAAAAATACTAAATCGGATCTACTTTCAGTTCGCAAAGCAGG